TGGCCTACATTTGAATGACTCCTAACTCACCAGCTTATGTGTGATGAATTCTTTCTGTGACACCACAAAGGAGCCCTGGTGGTGCTGGGGGGTCAGTGTGGGGCTGCTAACCCCCAGGTCAGCAGTTCAAACCCACCAGCTGCCTCATGGGAGAATGAATGGGTTGTCCGCTCCCTTATAAACATTTACAGATTCAGAGACAATATGTAGGGTTGGAATCCATTTAATGACATTGGCTTAGTTTGGTTTTGGGGTGGCACTACAATCACGTGTGATTTACGCCCCTCCCTGTATTCATGAGCACTGCCGGTGATGGTTTCACAGTCCGTCTCCCCACCTCCACCTCATTCGAATGACATATTACCTTCAATTCAGCTCTTCGATTTTACTTGAACACAGTTAAGAGGATTTTTCTGTAAAACAACCCTTAGGTGGGAATGGGAAGAATCTCCTAGGTGCTTAGCAGCTCTGAGTCTCAAGCCCAAAGGAAATCTCTGGAAGTAAGTTAGCTAATGGGCTGGTTATTGTCTTCTTCGGTGTGTGTGTGTGCTTTCTGATATTCATCTAGCCATGGGCCAACATTCCCATCAACTATTTTAATAGAGAGAATGTAATAACAAGAAGTATTCCTCGGGTATAGGGCAAGTAAAACAAAACGGGGCAGAGAAGTGGTCACTCTAGTGACTAGCTGTGACTGGGGAGACAACCAGGATAATTGGGAACGACGGACATTGAGCAGCTCGGCGGTTAGGTCTGTTATCTAGGGAGAGACCCACACCGGCTGGCGCTGGTCTCAAGCATGTGGCACAACTGCAGGTGGGAACTCGCTGCGGGCACAAGCTGTCCATAGCAGGTGACAGGCATCAAAGACAGGCCATTTAAGCCATAGGGCCTCAGCTCACTCTTCCAGCCTCCTGGGCTCCTTCTAGCACCCCCTTGTGGCTGAGCTTAGCAGGAATCAGGCTGCCAGAGCAGAGAGGTGGTTTGCAGCGTCCTGGACCCAGCTTCCCAATAGAAAGCCTGGAAGCCGAGAGGCAACAGCTTAACAACCTGCACACCAGAGGATTTAGAATCCAGTGCAGAGGGACTGAAGAGAGGAAAACGGACACAAGCCAAGACCACTAGTATTGTTATGTTGGGGAGATCTGCATAGTTGGTGTTTTAAACACATGGGATATTTAAGAGAATGGAGCCTATTAGGACTACGGTTTTATAACTCTGCTTTAAAATGTATAATTGAGTAATTAATTTGGACATATGCTTTTTACAGTGACATCTAAATTTAAGTAGAGTATAAACATATTTAAGAGAATTTAAGCTCTCCTTTATTTATATGTTTAATTTATTAGCTTCTACGAGACCGCTGAGCTTTAGGAATATTTTGTTGGCTGTCGAAACACTGACATCCTAAAAAAGAAATACGTGCATTAAGTTTATAAATGCATGTAAGAGCATTTGAAGTGCTGAGCTAAGCTTGAAAACAAGACCACGCTTTATTCAAAGGCTACTCTGAAGTGATTACAAATATTGGCGAGAATAATAAGTAGTCAGAATAATCAAATTCATAAGTTGAGCTTTTAAAAACCAGAAAAGAGGGGATTTTGAATTTGCATGTTAACTTGAATATGGATTCCTACGATAAAATATTCTCAATCTACTGCTGGTGAAATAATTACTAATATTTTTAAACATTTCCTTTAGAAGCTAAATTTATAACTTAATACGTATTTAAAAGTCTATTTTTTTTCCTGCCAAAGAAATCCATCAACCAGGATTCCCAAGGAGCCTCTGCCCCTTCACCTGTGCGTCTCTCCAGAAATGCAAAGCAACAGACTCACTGGCCTGGAGTCAATTCCAACTCTTGGCAACCTTGTGGGACGACACTGAACTGCCCCTGTGGGCTTGAGACCCAGGACCTTCATGGGGCAAATGGCCTCGCCTTTCTCCCACTCTTTGGACTGCTGGTTGTTAGCAGCTCAGCCCACGCTGCCACCAAAATAAACCAGCCAAGTCCACTGCTGTGGGATTGATTCCGACTCCCCGCCCGCTGTGGTGTGTGCACTTCACCAATGCTCTTGGTTCCTGTGCACACCGATCTACTGTTTGGCTGCAAATCGAAGCACGGTGGTGAGTTCCCTGCTAATCTGAAGGGGAATTTGTAAGGGCCACCGTCGCATGTATTCCATAAATCTCTTAACTACTAAGTCTAGTCCTCTTTCAGGAGTTTGCGTGTTTTTCCCCATGTTTTCCTCATTTGATCCAGAACTTCCCAGGTAATCCCTTGCAGAGCAATCGGCAGTGGTCAATGGGCCCCACCGGTCCCGGTCTCTCAGGCTGTGGAGCCTGACGCTCATGGGTCCACCAGACCAATTGTTTCGATGGGGCTTTGTATTTCCTTCACTCTTCTTCTCTCTGACAGGGAGAGACCAATCGTTGCATCTTGAGTAGTCACTCGTGAACTTTAAAGACCCCCATTGCCACTCCCCAAAGTTGGATGTCGAACACTGTCTTTGTGGACAGTGCTGGGCAGTTGATCTTGACCTGGCTGTCTTCCAAAACCATGGTCCTGAGCCCCCGACACATTCCTTCAAGGTGTTTAAAGTTGAAGACAACTTTGTCCACTGCGCGCTTCATCACCTTGGGGGATTGACTTCAGCCAAGGCAAATATTGATGTAAAATTACTCTTTTGTAGGGTGTTTGTAATAATATGCACTTGTGTATATGCATGAGTGTACGCCTACACTCCCCCTCCCAACACCCATTCGTGCCAATCCGTGTAGCAACTCGTGTTAGCTGTCGGTGAGATTATTGTCATTCTACTCGTGGTTCATGATTGCAGGATTGCGTGGGCAACAGTATGGGCCTCTGTTGCCTTTAACTCCGCCCTACTCCTCCTTCCCCTGCCTTCATCGGTTTTTGCCACCTTTCCTCCAATTGTGTATCACCCCACGACCCCCTAAGCCTACTTGTTTGATGTTGGATACTCTCATATGTGATCAGGGATCCCCTGACTCCACTGTGACCAGTGGACTTAGAACGACCTCAAGATCCCTACTTCACATCCACAGGCTCAAGGGGAGGATACACTTTGAACCGTAAGATACACCTAGGAGAACCGAAGAATAAAAGTATAAATACGAGTGAAAAAAACAAATGTCATCTTCCAAACAAAGTATCAGGATGTGTCTGAGGAGAAACCCAATCCGTAAATAGGAGAATGTTCCCTCTGGGCCACATTCTTCCGGAGGGGAGACCAAGATGGTGTTTAAAGTGGCCTGGACTTTCCAGAAGCCGTGTTATTTTCTAAGCTCCAAGCACAGACTGTTTCCCCAGGAAATGGCATTTGCCAATCCAGTCCAGGATGGCAACCAAAACTCAAGGGAGACTGCTTCCAAACGCCAGAGTGCAGGCACCAGGAAAAGGGAGCTGGAGACAATGCAGGCTGGCCCCCAGGAAGAAGGGCAGGGTGCAGGAAGATTTCACCCAGTGCTGCACTGGGAAATCCAATCAAGGCACACCTGGGGCACCCACCTCCGGAGAGCGCGAGGTGACATGTACAAAATGTTTATTGAAACCATTGGGGAAACTGCAATTGGAGACGGTTTCTGACGTGTGAGTGCATTTAGAGTTCAGAGCCAAGATCGCTTCCTGTCACTACACTTCAGTGACTGGGAAGCGTTCTCATCCATAGTAGACACACACCCCTGTCTTCAACAAGGGGCAAAAAATGGTTACAGCACTACAGCCACCCTGCGTGTAGTCCAGCTGGTGGTTAACAGGCCCTACACAGCCAGAGCATTTTGTATAGGGACAGGCTGAAATATTTCCTGCCCAAAGAGCTCAGGCATGAACACATGGTCAAGTTGTACACTGCCCCCCCAGGGTCCAGCAGCTCAGGACGCTGGGCTGACACCCAGAGTCCCATTCTTGGCCCAAGAGCTTTTAAGAGGGCTTCAAAACGTCTGTAGAAACTGGAATTAAAAGATGACCGGCTTTCACCACAAATATTTGAAGCTCCCCTCCTACTTAGCGGATGACTATAGTCCTCCTTTTGTGAGCTCAGGATAGGGAAAAGGTATTAACAAAAAAGTCATTAACCTTGTAAACCAAGGAGCAGACCCAAGAGAGTGCATCCCACTGCCTGGATGAATAAATGCTGGTCTCAAATGCTGAGGGGGCTGATAAGGGCAGAAGCCACCGGCTGAAGAACCATCGGGCTCTTATCTGCTAGTGTGCTGTGCGCTATAGCGCTTTCCTCCACGCTCGCACTCTCTCCAATGCGTACGTGGAGGCTCTTTGTTCGCCATTCTCAGAAGATGCCCCTTGACTTTTCTCTTCCATCGCTCTCTTAGCTGGATGGAAAGGCAACCGTTTTTGAAGTGAAATGTCGGAATTCCCAGCCCTCTTAGGTCTGTCCCTCCAAAGTCCTATTTCAGATGCTTACCCAGAAAGGAAATGCTGCCCAGGCTGAGCCCAGTTTGGACGGCCTCTCCGGGCCCCCTCCCTCCACCGCACAGGCTCCTGTCCACACAGGGGAAGCCTTCTCTGTCTGAAGCCTCTCTCCATGGCGCCACCAGGCCAGTGCGAAAAGGAAGTCAGGGCGTCTGCGCGGGTGGAAGGTCCTCCGTGGGAAGGACTTTGGGTCAAAGCCGGCTGCCCCCCAGGAGCATTTTGAGGTCCCACAGTTTAGAACTTCCAGGTCCTGCTTGAATCACAGGGAATGGCTCTCTCTCTCGGTCTCGCTCGCAACTCCTGCTCCACGCCCTCCTTGCGCACAGAGCAGAAACACTCCACTACCACGTCCCCCTAGCCGTGTGGACTTCCCCAAGGCAGCTTTCCCGACAAACCATGCCACTCGGGCCACGCCAGACTCCAGACCAGCTGCTTCCAGAGTTCCAAGGCGTCTGAGTCCCGCCCTCCACAGTCTTCTTGCCCCAGGAACCTCCAGTCCCTGACCACAGGATGGCTGGTCTGGGAGTCTGAGAACAGACTCCCCCAGAGGATAAGCACAGTGCAAGGTTCTATGTGCAAGTGCAAATATTTGCAAACAACAACAACTTTTTTTTCAACTCTACACATTTCGAAAGTTCAAGTCACATCCAGGAATGGACTAGGTGGCTGGTCCCCACCAGCCCCTCACACCCCCAGGGAGACAAGTGTCTGTTTCTGGAATGAGAGAGGATTGCAGCCACATCGGCTACCCCACCCCCATCCTGCCCCAGGTTCACCCCTTGAGTCTGAGAGGAAACCCAAGACGGAGGTGCTGAGGCTTAGTGACTTAGTGACTGAGGTGGCCGCCGTCCCAATGGCGAGAGGTTGACACCAGTTCCCCTCGGATGGAGCCAGACCCGGTCAGCCCTTTAGCAGACTAGGGCAACGTTCCCCCAGAGTGGTCCATAGGGGCCAGTGCCTGCCTCATCCCCGCTGAGAAGCAGGAGTTGGGATGATCCAGATGGTGGGCTCGGGGAGACTCAGCTGAAGGAAGCGCAGTTCAGCTCCGTGTCCTCCTGGCTGCCCCCTGCCACTTCCTCCGGCTCCTCGGGGCTGTCGGTGATGTTGGGCTCACTGGAGCACTGCCGGGAGGCTGGCGGGAAGCTGGGCGGCAGCAGCAGGCACTTGTCCTCACTGCCGGCCTCCTCGCCCAAGCCGGAGTGCATCCTGGTGGCCACGGCCAGCAGCTGGATGTCCGAAAGGGCATTGGCCACCGTGTGCCGCCGGACGCTGCCGCACTTCTCCAGGTAGGCCTCGCCCTCTTGCTCCGTCAGTGGGGTCAGCATCATCTCATTCAGTGGCCGGCCGGCTGCGTTCATGGTGGACGCATAGTTCAGAAGTGTCATCTTGGGTCGGACCCTGGTGTGTCGCCTGGCTGCAGGAGGAAACACCAGAAAAGACTGTCACTGGGAGGGGGTGGGGCGGGATGTGTGTGTGTGAAGAACCCCCTGCTGTCGAGCCACTCCCCACTTGTGGTAGCCCCCTGTGCTAGAGGAGAGCGGCTCCACTGCACTCCTGGGCTGCAGGAAGCAGCCCTGGTGGCATAGTGGTTATGCTTGGATTGCAAACCATCAAGGCAGCAGTTTGAAACCACCAGTCACTCTGAGGGAGAGAGAGTGCTTTCTACTCCCCAAAAGAGCCACAGCTTCGGGTCACTGTGAGTCGGAATCACCTCGGTGGTTTGGGGCACCTTTACAGAAGCAGGTGGCCAGGTCATTCTTCCCCGTGCTGCTGGATGGGATAGAACCACCAGCCTTCAGGGTAGGAGCCGAACAGAAATCTGTCTGGAAGACGGAGGAGGAGCGGTTTCAGGTGAAGCCCTGCTAAAATGCAAGCGATGAGAAGAAGTCAAACGATCTTTACTCATGGATGACGGATCCTATACAGTGACATTCCAAGGAGTCTGCAAGAACGCTTTCAGAGCTAATCGAGGAATCTAGCAACGTTGCAGAGGACAGAGTTGTTAGCAGCAGCAGCAAAATCAGTTGGATTTCTATACACCAGCAAGGAGAAATCTGAAAGGGCACGGAAGGAAACATATGCATTGTTAATGCTAGAACCGCCATGTTGTGAAAGTGGGTGACGGGCGGGCAGCAGACGACCAGTGGCAAAGGGAGGCATCGTCAGGTGCACAGGGGAGGGAATACAATGGCCCACATGGTTCTGCAATGATGGTGATAACACAGAGGGCCAATGAGCGGGGACAGAAGCAGGCACGGAAGCAGAACAGGCGTGGAAGGTGAATGGGAGGGTACCCATGAGTACACACGGCTCTGACAGATGACGCCTCTACATACGTACCCATATGTGCTGCAAATACGTCCACCCAGTGGGCGGGCAGCACTGTGAAAACGTCCTGGCTGTAACCAAACACCTCGAGGGAATGAGTCAGTGTGTCCGGGACTTAGGACTAGTCTCAGGGAGAGCATCTTAGGTCAGTGGACGGACAACCTAGTCCACAAAGACAATGTTCTACATCCTACTTGGATGAGTACCGCCCGGCGTCCTAAAGGCTTGAGAGTGGTCCTCTCATCTTAGAGAGACCAACAAGGAATAGAACCCTAACCCTTAGGACAAAGTCCACAGCTACTGGCTCTGGGAGGGGTTGACAGTAACAATAGCTTTTCAAAATCAGGCGGACCCTTGAGTTTACTGAATCCCTCCACTGCCTCACTGTTCAGCCTCTGTCTCTTCCTGAAACAAGAAGGGCTGGCCTCATTAGCCCTACTGTACAGAGGAGGAAAACTGAGGCTCAGCTCGGGTTCTCCCAGGTACTAAATGGCAGTGGCCAATGTTCCCGCTATACCTGCTGCCTCGGCTGAGACCAGACAACAGCACCCACAGCCACAGTGCAGACAGGAGGCTGCTGCTGGGCAGAAGTGGTGACCTGCCCCCCTCTTAGAGCAAAGGTGATGGTGGGGCAAATCCCCCAGGGAGACTTTACAGAGACAAAACACAGACTCTGGGGTCAAGCCACACACACTTGGAGAAGGTTGCACATTTTCACAATAACCACATATGCCTTTGATGGACTGAAAAATCGATAGCTAGAAAACAAACATCCGAAGAGTTCAAAGCACCAAGTACCGCATGAAAGAAGCCTCCTTATAAAAACCCTTGAAAAGATTCGTTTCTTGCACTCTGTTGTTAAAAGCAAGTGGGAGGATCAGCCCAGCAGGAGATGGGGGGTGGAATACCCACCCCTCTTTGAAACGGAAGAATGCCGCCACAGAACCACCACTGTCCCCTACGAGCTAGGCGGTGTACCCCCAAAGGTGCTCCACAGACATGATTGCATTCACGTTACTCAAAGGAACGAAGAGCAACCAGTGTGAAGTGGGCACGATCGTCCTGCCCATTCGGTGGAAGGGGAAACCGAGGCTGGGATGTTCAATAACCGGGCAGTGGCTACTGCTCAGTGAGGGAGGGGGACGCAAGCCCAGGGCGGGAGGCCCTGCCCGTGACTGCTGGTGGATGGCACACAAAGACTGCGAGAACAGAGTACAGACAAGAGGACAGCCCCCTTGAGTGTGGCAGATAAGAGGCTACCTGAACCAGCCGTGCGTGATGCATTCATTCTGTCTCTGTCTCTGCCTGTCTGTCTGTCTGTCTGTCCATCTGTCTGTGTCTCTCTCTCTTTCTCTCTCTCACACACACACACACACACACACACACACACACACACCTCTATGCTAGGTCCTGGGGTACAGAGAGGAGCCACATGGTCCCTCCCCTCAAAGAGCTCAGCTCACAGTCTAAGGCGGGAAGCGGCACAACATCAGGCCACTGCAGCACAAGGTGGCGAGTGCCAGCACTGGGTTGGGAAAGAGGGCAGAGCGGAAAGCTGTACACACCGTCTGCAGTGAGTCCACGGGGCAAAGCCTTCTCTGGCCGGGGCCTTTAGAACAGCAGGCGGCCCTGCCCGCAGCCTGGCAGCTTTCCCCCAATGAAAGACAGGGCCTCTGCGGCTCAGAGAAGTTCAGCCACTGGCCGCTGGCCACACAGCGGAGCCCCAGTCTTGTGGTTGGTAGGCCCTGCTCTCCCTCTTCCTGGCTGTTCAGCTGAGGATCTGGCAGCACGGGCCAACAAGCTCCTCCCCTTGCTTTCTGTTCCCAGGCCTGGGTGTTGGCAAGGCTGAGACCACAGGGGCAGGCGGGGCTGGCCAGCTAAGCTGCCCAGACTCAGAGCCAGCCCTCAGGCAAGTGTGTCGGCTTTGTCCCCTCCCCCCCTTGTCCCCACCCTGCTGTCAGCCTGCCTCGCCTTCCCCCCACCCCCTAACCCGAGGCCCCTTGGGAGGCCCCTCAGGGCCTTCAAACCAAACCAAGTAGTGCTGGCCCCAGGGGACGGCCAGCTCCCCAGGCTGCTGCTGGCACCCTTTCCTTCTTCTTCCAGGCGGCCTTGGGATGGCCCTGCCCTACGAGCAGGAATCTCCAGGACAGGACGTACTTCCTGGCAGCAGCTCTTGTTGGTGAGCAGGGAGAGGGCCAGCCTGCCACCTCTCCTCCACCTGCCCCCAGGACAGCTCATCTGAGCGTGCTGCAGGCCTTTCTCACGGGCTGGGCTGAGGGGGGCTGGGCACCCTGCTGAGCACTGGAGTCCAGGCCCCTGTGCCTGAGCCAAACACGGCAGCTCCTTTCAAAACCGAGACGGGAGCGGAGCTGGACACAAGGGCTCAGGGCCTTTGTTGGGAACACAGTTCCCAGGCCTTTGATCTCCCAGGCTCTAAGCAGGCCCCATAATGCAGCCATTGTGACCCTTGTGCACCAAGCCCATTGTGGGCGCCCCTCTCCAGGCTGGGGCACCTGAATGCCGATGAATGCCTCCTTGTCGCGCACAGGGGTTACAGGATTTTTGCACGTACTCGCGGGCACCCCCCCCCCCTCCTGTGACACAATGCAGAGGGCAGCCACAGCCCAGCCGCCTGGAAACTTCTGGAACTGGAAGACGGAGATCCTGGGTTGGCCCTCTGGAGAGTCTGCCCTTTCCTGCTGTAATTAGAACGATTTTACTGTTCTCTTCCCCACTCCATGTGCCCTAGAAAGCTGCCCTTTTCACCCAGAGGCGCTCTGGAGGTGAGGGGTGTGTGGTATGGTGTGTGTGTGTGTGTGTGTGTGTGTGTGTGTGTTGTGGGATGGTGTGCTGTAGTGTGTGTAGGGTAGGGGTATGGTGTGTGTGTGGTAGGATGTGGTGGGTGGTGTATGTGTGGTGTATGTGGTGTGATGTGTATGTATGTGTGTGTATGGTGTGGTGTGGTGTTGTGTGTGGTGTGATATAATGTGGTGGGTGGTGTGTGTGTGTGGTGTGTGGTGTGTGTGTGTGTGGTGGGTATCATGTGGTGTGTGGCATGGTGTGACACAGTGCATGGTGTGCGCTGAGTGGTGTGGTGCATGGTGTGTGTTGGGGGTATGGTGTGTTGTATGTGTGGTGTGCTGTGTTGTGTGTGTGGTATGTGTGTAGCACATTGTGTGTGTGTGGTGTGGGGGGCATATCATGTACTGTGTGGTATGGTGTGACATGGTGGCTGGTGTGTGCTGAGTGGGGTGGGGTGGGTGTGGTGTGACACAGCTGATGGTGTGTGCTGAGTGGTGTGGTGCATGGTGTGTGCATGTACGTGCATACCCTGGCCCAGACACACACTCCACTTTAGGTAGCAGATTCATCTTTTCTCGACTCGGGGTGAAGGCTCACTTCCCAAACGCTAAGCCTGTGAGCAGAAACCCCTGGGGGCACATTTGTGCCTCAGCAGCATGGCCTGGGAAAGCCTCCACTTGGGAGCCTCTAGGAAGTGCACGTGGTTCACACACGGGGCCTCAGACTGCAAGAGGTCCTGGTCCACCTACCGCCGCCTGGGAGGCAAGGGCTGCCAGTCTACTGCCGGCCTTCTCTGACACCGGGCATGTCCTAGGGCACAATCAACTCGGGGAACCTGGTGTCTGTCCTCCGTTCCTGGCTGTACTTGCCGACCCCCTTGCCCTAGGGGGCATGTCTTAAATACTCTGAGACTGAGGTCCGAGCAGCACCCACCCCTGGGGCTGGGACAGAATGGAACCAAGACCCACTCAGAACCTGGAATTCGACAGACACCAGACACAGGGTGGCTTCTAAGGTGGTGTCCCAGCTGCCCGGAACCCTTCCCACCCCACCAGGACCCCAAAAGAACCATGGGAAAGCCCTGTCAAGTGTGCAAAGACTCCTCGCATCCAACACACGGCCAGGCCTCTCAACAGCCCTCCCATGTGTGGATAAACCCGATTGGTCCGGTTTTGCGGAAGGGAAGTCGGGCTCAGGGAATCCACCATGTGGAAGGAGGTGTTCTCAGGAAGGATGGGCACCGCTGGGGCCATGCTGGCTTTTGAGGATGCAGAGTTGGGATGAAATCTCTGGCCAAGGACCCCCCCATGGGCTGAGGGATGGAAGGGCAACAAACATCTCCCTAGCTATTCTTCCACCTGACACCTGTGGGGTGGGCTTAGGATGGGGTTTGGGGGCCAGCTGGAAAGACGGAGACAGCATGTGGCTTTGCAATCATGGGGCCGGCACCCAAGTGATCACAGTCCTCGTTCGCCTCATCTGTAAAATGGGAAGAACAGTGCCTATTCTGTGGCATGGTACCCAGCCCGCAGAGGACAGGGCCCCTGTCCAGGGGCTCATACTGCTATCAGTCACCTGGTGTGTGTTGTCCATACAACTACTGCTATCAGTCACCTGGTGTGTGTTGTCCTTGCAACGCCTACATTCTTTCAGTTCCTCCAATGCTCCACCCTCTGATTCACCCAGCCCCCCACAGGTCCTTTGGTTGTCCTTCGATAGTCCTCCCTCCCTAGTTACTCAGCTCATCTATATTCATCCTGCAGGTACCTAACAGCACCTCCCTCAGGGAGCCTTCCCTGATTCCCTGGTCCCACACGCCCCATTCAGAGAACAGGGATGGGACTGTCCACCTATGGATCCGCAGCACCTCACAAGGTTCCCGCCCGGCCGGAGATCTCAAACATCTGCCGAAACATTACAAATATTTTTGTAAATAATCAAAGGGTCATTGCCTTCAAGTTCTCTCCCTCCTGAGTCAGGGTTTGCTCTTGGTCCAAGAATAAAACCTAAAACTTTCTCTTCGTAACTTGACAAAGGCGGGCCTCTCCTATTGGGGCTGGAAAGCCAGGGGAAGGACTGCCTTGTGAGAAAGGCTGAATCTTGCCACCCAAAATGTGTGTTAGAATCCTGACTCCTGGACACATAAGTGTCATCTAATGTAATATAGTATAAATCACTAACATAGTCCCCTCCCCTAAGACCAAGTAAAGTCAAAAGCTACTGCTAGTAGGCTGCAGGCCATGCATGCACGGGTGTGCACCACACAGGCTGTGATGAAACCTGTCTCTGCGATGGGGTGGGGGTGGGGGGGGTGAATGCAGACAAGTTCTCTTGGAAATACGCTGAAGTCCTTTTATGAAAGGCTCCAGTCTGAACAGTGGCTTCCAGGGGGATCTGCTGGGTCAGTGGAATTCAAGGCAGCGAGGTCAGCTCAGAAGGTCATGGTGATTGGTTTTCATTTGAGATTTCAAAGAGGGGATCTCGATCACCTTTCTCACAGCACCCAGGATGATCGCTAGGGTGTATCATGAAATTTTAAGAAAACAGAACACTGCACCGCTGAGAAAAAGGCCAAAAAAGTTGCAGAGAGTACTGTTTTTCCCATCGAAATGCACCTGCTGTTTTCTGAGGATAGCAAGGAGGATTTTTGTTGTTCGCCCTAGAGTCCCGATCTTGTCCCTTCAGACTCTTTTTGTTCCCCAAACTCAAGTAACATTGAAAAGGAACATGACTGGAGTCCCTTCAGGATGCTAAAACTGACACTCGGGCAGGATCTTCCCTGAAGAGCGCAGAATTCCTCAGGGCAGGGTTAGAAAGCCCTCAGCACCGCCTTAAGAAGTGTGTGGACTTCACTGGCGGATCTGCCCAGAAACAAGAGCTTCATGTTTTTAGTATTCTTGTTTAGTGAGGGTTTCTGACATAAGTTCACCAGCTGGGGTCCTCTGACCGGGCAAGGGCAGCATGATCATTTGTTCTCTGAACAGGACTTGTGTGAATGGCCACATGAGGCCGGAGAGGATTTAACTGTCTCTTGTTTTTCATGTCTTGACTCGATGGCAGTGAGGGTTTAGCTTTTTATCAGTGAAATTGACCCTATATTGCAGTTTAATGAGATACATCAATCCGTGGAGGCCCTATCAGTCTAAGATGGATCTTAAACCTAAACGATTCTGAGTGATCCCTAGAGCTGCAGGTAGACCGGTGCCATGTGAGGAAAGCGTGGAAGCAAGGAATGCTGGGGGGCTGTCGACCAGGGAGGTCCAGACACAACCAGCGGCCCCAGTTGGAATTTCCTCCTGCAGAACGGTGAGAAAATGCTTGCTCTTTAAAGAAAGGTGTTACAGCAAATCCTACAAAACAAAGGCATTCTTGCAGAGTGAATCTTCACTCTTGTTCCCAACACTAGGCCCAGATGTGCTGGAGAGTCCTGTCACCACCCAACTAGCCTACTGGTGTCCTGATAGCTGCCCGCCCTCCCTCCTCAGCCTGGGGGAGTGGGGCCAGTTGGGTACGATGAGTCAGGAAGGTGGGCTTCAGGAAGCCTCCCCACCCACCCCAGAAGCCTGGGGAGGGCAGGAAGCTGTTTTCCAAGACCAGGAGGGAGAAGAACCCGGCAGGCTAGGTCTTGCACCTCTGACCTGTGGTGGCTGCGGGGACGACGGTGACTCCAGGGAGACATGAAGAGGGCCGTCAACCCTGCTGCCTTGTTCTGCAGCAGCGAGGCTCCGGGAAGGGGCAGGAACCCCGGTGGAGGCTGATCCCTCTCCTTACTCCGAGAGGAGGGGACGAGAGGTTCCAACGCTGTGGAATCAGTCTCAGCACCCCGCTGGTATAGCCTCCCGTCTTCAGGGTACAGTTGCCATCATCCTTCTGGCAAATTTTTGAGCACCTACTATGTGCCGGGAGCTCTGGGGACGCTGGAGGGTAAGCCTCAGACTGCGAACCGCAAGGCCCTCTGTTCAAACCCACCAACTGCTCCACAGTAGGAAGAAGAGGCTGTCTGCCCGCATAACGATGTATAGCTTCAGCAACCCTAACGAGGCTCACAGAGTCAGAATGGGCTCCATGGCAGTAGGTTTTCTTTAACTCCACGCCAAGCACCGCGGCGGCTGTTGGACCGAGAACGATGAATGTCAAGTCCCTGCACATGAGCGGATTCTATCTGAGAGCATACTCGAGGAAGGAAGGCCTTCTTCTATGGCTTTTCTCCCAAGGGTATGGAGTGAAGTGTGGCCCCCTCCCCTGAGATGTACCCCCTAGTACCTGTGAAGGGGACCGTGTCTCACTGGGACTTTGCAGACAGCCTCAGGTAAGCCAGCGGGAGGTCACACTGGAGTGGGCTGAGCGGATGGTTCTGATCGGATCGGACGGGTGCCCTGTACATATGCAGCGGGGCACAGGGACAGGGAGTCACAGAAGGAAGGTGGCTATGCCAGGTCCGAGGCAGAGAAGTGGGTACAGCGACAAGCCAAAGACAGCCCGGGGTCCCTGGCCGCCACCAGAAGCTGGGAGAGAGGCATGGAACCGCAGAGCCAACCATGGAAAGAAGCAACACGGAAGCCAGTTTCTGACTCCCCACTTCCAGAACCGTGGGGCAGTATATGCCTGGGGCACCAAGTACTTTTTGTACAAAGTACCAAGTATGCCGTAGAAAGCCAGTATGCCCATCTTCACCCAGCTGTGACCTCACTGCCAGAAAGAACAGGTCCGATGCCTCTGTCAGTTCTCTGGGGAGCCGAGTACAGTGCCTGGCACTCACTAATGCCAGCTTCACTGCCACAGAGGAACCCCGACAAGGTCTGACCCCAAAGACAAGAGCGCCTTTCCTGGCTGCCAAGGTCCTGACAGAACCTACAGACATGGGGCGGGGCCAGTGGCTCAGCACCATCTGGTCACAAGTACCAGGAGCCCGCCCCGGCCTCCCATACCACGCTTTCTGGGTTGAGAGCGAAGTCCACGGTGGGCAGGCTCTCCACCCACAAGGCAGGGGGTGCAGGCAAGGCAGTGCGGGGCGGCGGGATGCAAGACAATGAGGCCCCCTCCCCCCACAAGCACACGGACAAGATCCGAGCTGCTGCTCAAAGATGCAGATGAGACCTGCCCCATCCCATAGGCACAGTGCTGGTCCTCTGGGAGACGGGGAGACGTCCCTGAGAGGCGCATTCCTGGGAAGCAGGGGGAAGCAGGGAAGGATGAGAACACACAGATTTGGGATGAACTCCATCAGAAGCACAGGCTGGCACAGAACTGTGGCTCAGCAGAACGCCGTGGTCGGGAGAGCGCCCAGCAGTGGCAATGTGAACGTGTGCACACTCCTTACCCATGGTGTAGGTGAGGCCCGGGAAGGCGCGGTCCTCGCTGAGGCCCAGGAAAGGAGAAACCACTTGCTTCACCAGCTCCTCCAGCTGCAGGTAACCCTCGCTTGGTCCCGTGGGCTCGTGCACACTCTGCAAAGGAAGGACCCAGACAGACAATGGTCAGTCGGCTCTCCACAACGTGCTCGGCCATTCCTGGGACCCTGGCTGGTAGAACCCCCTCATTGGGTACAAGTGGAGACTTTGGGTGGTGTCCTCAGCTAACAGGCTGGTCATCGACAGGTGGGAGGTTCAAGTTTTCACAGAGGTGCCCAGGAAGAGGAGGTTGGTGAACCACCACCACAAATCAGCTATCAGGGATCCTGTAGAGCGTGAGCGTACTGCGACACACAGGGGTTCCCATGGGTCAGACGTGGCTTGGTGGTTACAGGCTTTAAGATGCAGTGTGATGTGCCGGGCTCACAGATCAGCAGTGTAAATGCTTTCCTTACAGAGACATGCCTTCCTGTAGGACCAACAGCAAGTATTAGAGCTCACCTGAGGGGCTGCATCACTTATTTTACTTACACACACACACACACACACACACACACACACTCTCTCTCTCTCTCTCTCTCTCTCTCTCTCACTCACTCACTCACTCAAGGAATTGCCTCATCTCCCCAAATGCTATAAATGAAAACAAACTCTGCCATCCAGCCAATACCTTGCAACAGCGACGCTATAGGACAGGGTAGAACTGCACCCGAGGGTTTCCGAGACGGTAACTCTTGAGGGGGTAGAAAGTCCTGTGTGTCTCCCAGAGCAGCTGTTGGTTTCGAACTGCTGGCCTTGCGGAGAGCAACCCCGTGCATCACCCCATAACCACCACACCACCAGGGCTTCAGTGCTATCATCAGGCGAAGAGGAAGCCCGGCCCCACTTTCCTAGCCTCCTTTCTATCAGAGCCCTGGGGAGCTCCTCTTCCACACTCTTGTTCAAGGCGCAGGCTCGGGTCATACCACTCGGAGGCAAGCGGCACAGATTTTTCTCTCCCTCCGCCTTCTCTTGCTCGTTTGTAAAAATACTTGGCCTGGCATTCCAGCCATGGACGCCCACCCTCATGTAGTAGATAACACTGCCCCCACCCTTAGGCTGGGACTACTGGAAAGGGGGAGAAGGTCCAGAACGACAATTGAGCTCAGAGAACTGGAAGAGCAGCAGCCACTGAACCCCACATATGACACTCCCTCCCTCCCTCCCTCCCTGCCAGGTGCTCACCCCCAGCCTGAGCATGGATGAAGCCTTCCTTCTCAAGGAAGGGCTCAGCACTGCTGCCGCAACCGCTTGTATGAGTCGGAAGGAGAGCTGCTGGAGAATGTGTTGCACTGAGGAGGCTACACGGATACGGCTTCATCTCGTATAGCTGCTTGGGCCCAGGAGAGCCATCTGCTCCATGCTGGACAATCTACACCAAGCAGGGAGGAAGTGGAATATTCTTGACCTCTCACTGGGCTGAGAGACCTTAGGCAAGTACCCAGATACTCCAGGTCTCCGTTACATCATCTAAAATAAAAACAGCAATGGCCACCTCCTGAGGTGGTTGACTGGATTATCTCGCTGATAAAACAATGGATCTAAAGCCCTTGGATTGCCAGACAGCAAGGAGCCAATAAATGTTAGCTCAAATTCTTACTGTTGGTCTGGAAATAGGGCTAAGAGCGTCTAGGCAAGCATCCAGGTAGTCTCTTAGTGGAAAAGGTACAACACAGGAGCTACGTGAGCTGTGGGATGCTCCGTTCAACCAGGAGCAAACTAAAGCACTCAACATAATTCTGCAGAGTCAAAAGAAGAGACCAAGCCTTAGTAAGACCAGGCATAGCCAGGAGAGCCAGCACAGGCTGATACAAATAGAGATCAAGACACCGAGAAAGACAGGTGGGCTTGGCTGCCTGCCATGGTCTCAAGTCTTGCCTTGAGACAGACTGAAATATGTTTTTTGTTGTTCCTTGCAACTTGTTGCTTTCGGACTTCATGGCTCAGGACAAGAGTGTCCACTGCCTGTTTGAATGGCAGGACCCTGTTTATTTCCCATCCCACTGTGAGCTCAGCACTGTGCACTGCACCCAGGGCCTGCATCATACACGAATACATGAGCCAAGGAAGACAAACGAATAAACAAAAGAGTACTAAACGAGGCAAAACTGGGGCCACTTGGCGGCCTCCCTCCCGTGGCTTCAGGATCATGCATCCATGCCAGCGTCTCACCTGCAGAATGAGCAGCATCTGGACAACAGACGAAGGGAGCTTGGGCGGGGCCAACGGCAGCAGGTCTCCCAGCTTCACCTTCAGCAGGACCAGGTCTCGGAAACCCAGCAGGGAGATCTGGCGGATGGTCAGCTCCTGGCCCTGGAGAGGGGAGAGGCAGGAGGACCAGGAGGTAAGAGCTTGCTGGAGCAGCCACCAAGCCCATGAGGTTCAGGACAATGAATGTTTACAACGCATCCCTGAGTTGACTCGGCAGCACAGGGTTTGGTTTGGGTTTTAAACAGCAGGCGACAAAAATCAAGTGTGCCCTCGGCGAAGTAAAGATAGGACTAGACTACCCTCACAAACAAGGCTTCATTCCCACCCCGTTGAAAGTTAAGGAAGCTTTGCACTTCCCCGAACTCTGTAGGGTTCTATAAAGACACAGGCAAGTCAAGAGCCAAGGTCTCATCTATTCTGAGACCAGAAGGATGAGGTGGTGTCCCGTTGTCACTACGGATCAACCCGATCAGGGCCACAGCAGAGGGATCCTGATGGAATGGGTGAAAAAGGGGAACTGAACTTCCAATTCTTAAACAATTCAGACTTCCTGGGCTGGACGAGACTACATTTCCAGAGACATTCTTTGAACTGAAACACACCTGAGGTCATGCGTTAGCTAAATAACAGGCTGGCTCACACCGTAACGAATCTCACCCATGTGAATGGACTGTGCTCCTTGGAAAATCATCAGGATGAGGCCAAGTGGTCACCCGTTACTTTGAAACAGAGGAGACGTTAAGGGGACAGGGAAACCGGTGAACGGAGATATAACCCAGCAGAATGGAAATGAGGAGACCGGCCATGCATGGCAAGAACGAAACCAACATGAATGAACAGTGTGTGTAGAAACGCTGGCTGGGACCCGGAGCTGCTGTGTAACCCTTCACTCTGAACCTTCGCACTTCGGGAAATGATGAAGCTGGCAATGAAACCCAAAATAAGAAATGGGCACCAGGCATGAATGGTTGCTTCTATCTCTGCCTCCTTGCTAACCCCACTGGCAACAGACACGCAACCACAGCCCGCACTTGTAAGTTCCTTATCACCATCTAACCACCCACCTCTGTTGCTTTCCTTAGTGTCCCCTTCTCTCTCCAAGGTCCTACAATGTCTGTGTCTGCACCACACCCAGCATCGGCACAGGATGGTGCTGACACTCTTGCTCTGTTTCCAGGTCCCCTTGCAGTTCAGCAAAAGCCTGGCTTAGGCACCAGGCTGTTCACGAACATGCCAGCAGTTCAAAACTACCAGCGATTGCGCGAGAGAAAGAAGAGGTTTTCTCCTCCGGTAAGGAGTTAATTACAGTCGGGGACCCACAGGAACAGGTCTGCTCTGCCCTACAGGGTCGCCATGGGTCAGCACTGACTCTGTGGCAGTGAGTTTGGGTTGGTTTGGCCTTCACTTTACCGAGATAGAAAACTGAAGGCAAAGTTCCCCTGTGAACATAGTTGTTGGATGCCTTCAATGCCAGTTCTGACTCACAGCACAACTACCCTCCAGGATTTCCCAGGATGCAATCTTCTTGGGTCGGTGAAGAGGAAGAAGGCCTTCAACTAGATGGAGTAATGAGTTAGAAGCAACTAGACACTGTCCAATCACTCATCACTACCACCACCACTCCCACCTCCACCTCCTCCACCACGACCACCACCACCACCTCCATCACCTCCTCCACCACCACCACCTCCACCTCCACCTCCCCTTCCTGTCACCCAGAAAGGGCCAGACACTCAC